GGAATGAAGAGTGTAGTGTGTCTGGCCCCTTACGAGTGTCCAGCAGTGGTGTGGGCAGGGGGGCCCAAACAATATGCAATACAAGGGGCCCAAAAACCAGACGGCATTGGCTGTGGGTTAGGACAAAAACGATTGGCTTTCGTCCTTCACTGTTAGTTTTTAATCGCTTTATTGCGTTTCGCCTGGTTTCGACATGGTGTGAGGTTAAAAAGACACAAAACAACTTTCCCTTTTATGGTGCATTTACTACTTGATAGTAAAATCACTAATGTCCTTGGTTAATATTGTGGAACAATGATGTTGTTGAGCCATGCAATTGTTTTTGAAGATAAAACCCCTGACTGGCTCAATAAATTTTTGTGCCGATTCAGTATGCAATGAAAAGGTTTATGAGCACCCGGTTCTGCCTATATCGGACACCTGACATCAAATCTAAAGACGCTATTATTATTTTTTCTTTCTCATAGAAACCAAACATGTAACCCATTTTATGACGAAAAACGCTATCATCTTATTAATACAAGTGGATGCCGTGTAAAAGTTTACCTCTCAGCCTTAATAAAAGGGATTTTATCATGTGATTTGAATTATGGGGTCACTTAATCCAGATCTGGACTGTCAGTGCATATCAGTGCATTCAATGTTGATTAAAGCTAAAATGAATAGTAGATCAATGGTATTAAAATATCTCCACCTATTCATTGCAGGATAGTAATTCTTTTGATGGTAAATAAGTGAATCAAATAAAAAACAACAGCAGCAACAACAAAATACAAAGAACTCATGCATTTCTAAAATACAGAGTGCTTTATTTGTAGAATACAGCATCAATTTAGCAAAAATAGTTCTATTATAGACAAAATCTACTTGGTCTTAAAAGTCCAGTTTATAGTAACAGCATCGTCAAGACATGGGTACCTAACAGAAAGTGTGTAGATAGCAAAAACGGAAAGAAACATGAAAAAAAGTGAAATACATACTCACAATTAACAGCATGTTGTACAAAGAACTAGAGCTTCAAGCATGCATTGCAGCAATATAATAATAATAATAATATGCCATATGTTGTTTTTACATAAATAAAAAAGGAGACAAACGTTTAAGCAAAAAGGGGAGAAAAAAGCCAGAAACATGAACTTTTCATTTGTGCTAGTTCTATGATGTAAACGACTGTAAAACGGTCACTGGAAATACATCTGTGGTCATTTTGCACTGTTCTGCAACACTAAACACTCCACAGTGAGCTTTTAGAACTCCCCAAGACATTTAGGCACATGTACAGCCATTAAAACATCATCTCAAGCAAACCACAAGCGATGCTTCGCAAAGAGAAAACGAAGCAGACTTGCTAAAGAGACTTTTTAAATGGACTGAAGACAATGTGGTGTAGTTTCTGTTTCCCCGCATCCTTTTTAGATGCGAATCATTTCTTTTCTTAACCCAGGCACTGGTTTCCTGGAGACAGATTAAATTTCAACGGCTTGAACATCGTCTTACAAAATGGAGTGTTTACACTGGAGACTCACCATTAATGTAATCTTCGTCAATGATGTGCAAACTGCCATTCAGAGGATCTCTAAACTTACCAGGAATTATGTAAATGAGAAGGTGATGATAATAAAACACCTCACTGTGAAAACAGCAGATGTTTATATTACTCTGAAATCGGTATCAAAGAAAAGACACGATTTCTGACACTAAATCTATGTCGTCTAAACGACACATTATTGGATGACCAGGGTCATTTTAGTGTCACATTGATTCATTTGATTAAATAATACTTTCACTGACTTCCAAGTTCTCACATTATTTTGTTCAAAGACGTGCTTGAAGCAAGACCAGCATATTCAAGGAATAATTCTGCAAAGTGTGCTTGAACTTTTTAAGGGACGTTTTATGCAGAAATACCTCATTAGGGCTAATTATGTGTATATAAGGACTGATATTACACACAAAAAATGTACACCAAGTTTTCATTTTAAGTAAAGTGCTGGCATATTAG